TCACTGCTGCTTTTCGAAGACGCCGACATAATGAAGATAAACACTGTCATGGACGGAGTTTACAATAATCTGTCGCCCTGCTCTGAGAGACAACAGCATCAGCATTTAAGTCAAAGTCACATAAAAAACTGATCAGCCGTAAAACAAAGACTTAACATCCAATCAGTCAGAGAGCAGCTCCTCATTACTACGGTGTTTAACTCACACCCCGAGACCCAGCGTTTTCATTAAATTCCAATATAACACGTAGAGTTTTATCAAGGATTAATGGCTTTTTGAATCTTTGAACAAGTGCAGCACCGCAGCACGCAGTAATTAGTCGGATGACTCTGCAGCCTCCGCTGCTCAACCTCAACCGGAAGAACGGACAGCGACGCGTGCAGCGCCGTTGTTTTCCCACGATGTTGCCGCACATAATGTCATGGATTTTCCACAACACGATACATGTAATTTGGACGACAGTTGCTCTGGGAGTGCAAAGTGGAAATAATTGTGCAGCTGCACAGGAGAGGAAAAGGAAGTTCAACCATGTGTGTGTGTGTGTGTGTGTGTGTTTGGCCTCCGACTGCAGTGAATTAAAAGATGAGTCTATCCACCTATTTATTTGTCTGTCCATCCTTTCATCCATTTATTCACTCGGCCAACCCACCCCTGCATCCATCCATTTCTTCATCCAATCAAACAAAAGCACCCACTCATCCATCCATCCACTCATCAAGTCCTTCATCCAACCACTTATCCACCCATCCACCATCAATCCATCCACACATACACTCACTCATCCATCTATACATTCATCCATCCATCATTTGACGAGCCGACCCAACAAAACGACCACTCATCCATCCATCCATCCAACATCCAACCATCCAAGCCACCCCTGCATCCATCCATTTCTTCATCCAATCACACAAAACCACCCACTCATCCATCCACCGACACACCTCCTCATCCATTCCTCCCTCCATCCATTCATCCATCCGATCCAATCAACCACCGACCAACCAACTCATCCATCTGTCCGTCTGTCCAACTCTATAAAAGTACTTGACAGTGGGCTGAGGGCCAACAGTCCTACTACAGTACTACAGTACACTACACGTGAACATTGTACTCCTTCAGTACAACGACAGATTGCCTAAAAACGAGACAGACTGTGTTTGGACCGAACGTCTCATGAATAAGAATCCTCCGGTGGCAGATTGGTGTAAAATGCTGTTTGTCCTCCTGCCACTGTCTCTGCGTCTTTGTTGTTCCATCACTTCAGTACAACCAGTTTGCTTCAAAAATAAAAAATAAAAACATTATAAAATATATTTTATAATTCATTTATACCAGTGTTTAGAATGACTATAATGAAAGGGACGAGTTTTACACTGCATTAATTCTGCATTAATGTTTAAAGATTTAAGAGATAAACATTGTAAGATGTAGTGAGACACAGACTCTTCGTTTTACATCGTTTTAGAATGTGTTGAAAATGAAATTGAAATACAACAGCACACACACACACACCTAATAAGGTCTGCTCTAGGGTAACAACTCCAGTGCCATTTTCACTATTCCCACTATTTAGACAAAGCTGTTTTAAAAACATATCAGATTCCCATACATACCACTAGAGGGAGTCTGGTACCACCAGGGGCATGCATACCACAGTTTGAGAATTACTGCTGTGGTATTAAATAAAGTGAAAATGTAACAAATAATAATGTAAGAAACAAATAATTTAGAGATGTCAAACTACAGCATGCTCACAAATACGACAGAAAACGTATTCAAGTTTAGTTTTACGCACAGTTAAAAAAAACCTCAACCTTAGTTAATACATCGTGTACATCTGAGTGACAGTTTGTTCACGGAACGTACATGCTTTTTATACTTTATAAACAGCTCGTTAAAAAATCGTAAGGTTTTCTATTCTCGTCTACTCATTTCTCGTGTTTCTTTATAATTGTTTTATGCAGTAAAACGTACGTAGTTTCCTATACGTTCCTATACTCCGTTGTTTTTGTGAATATGTTGCCGCCTCAGTCAGGTGTATATAGTATAAATGGTGTGTTCGCGTGTACTCCGTTGTTTGTGTGAATATGTTGCCGCCTCAGTCAGGTGTGTTATGTGACGAGGATGAGGATGAGGATGAGGATGAGGTTGTTGTTCAGGGACGCGCTTCCTCTTGCGCGCAAAACACCTCAGACCACGTGACCAGCAGGCGCACAAAGCCTTATAACCGCCCGCTGACACAAACACCACACCAACACACCCACACACAAACACAGACAGTCGGCTAGAGTTGACAGTGACCGTGTCTACGGTGGTCCACGCTGGATAAACCGTCAGAAAATCTTCCGTAAAAACTACTGATATATTTTTGACAGTGTTTCTTCCAGATTGTTGATTGTCACGGATCGACTCTGATGATGAAAAGAATCAAGGTTAGTTTTTTGTTGTTGTTTTTTTTTTGTTTTGGTTTCTGCGTCTTTTATGTGGTTCTATTATTTTATTTTATTTTATTAAGTCAGACCGACTTGTGCGTAAAGCGTTACTCCAAACACTTGTTTAACGCAGATTTATTTACGGGTTACAGTTTGTATTTCACGTTTCAAATACTCAGAATCCTCGAATGTCGTCGTCAACCGGTCTAACGACCAAATCCAAAAACCTGCACATTTTTCTGTTTTTGATTAATGTCATAATTAGTCGTTAATCAAATGCGAAACGGATCACTGTATCGTCGAGTAGTTATCATAACTAGTTAGTAGAAGATTATCGGGGGGGGGGGGGGGCAAAACAACTCAGTGCTTATTGACCTACTTTAATTAATAATAAAGCGCAGCCTGTGCTCCATACTTAACGCAGACATTTCCCCTGAGGCAGTGCAGGTTTGTCATCAACTGTTCATTTTCCCACTATTGTCTGGGATGCATCTGTTGTGGAGTCAGCTGGGAGATACAGATTTTTTCCAGCCTAAGTATCAATTATAACAAACTATATAATATCATGTTACATTTTTTTTACATTGATTCCTTATGGAAGACTGTTTGTTTTTTCCTTTTCTTTGTAGATGTTTTTTCCCCAGACTTCAGTGCTGTCTGGACACACACTTCTCCGTTGAGCTCCTCCGAAAAAACACCAACCAGCCATGAAGTTGGCTCTGCACAGGATAGCAGGCACCACCGTGAGCACCCTAACAACAGGTGCCCAGTATCTCGGCTCTAATGATGCCAACTACGACGACGCCTCCCTGGACTCTGGTCTAATGAAAAGCAAATTCCACTTTGAGAAGCTTCACTTAGCCTCCGTGAGTCACTCCCTGCCTGGACTTGTCCCTGGAAGTAAGGAGGTCATTTACAGAGCCTTCCCTCCCGTTCTACCCACCAACATATCCGACTTTGTGCTGGGCAATGGCACACAGGCAGAGACTGGGGGAGTGGCACATTGTGGGGAGAATTTGGGGGACAACATGGAGTGCTTCATGATCCTCACTCCAGGTCAGCAGCTGGCCATCGCCATCCTGGCGCTGACCCTGGGTGCATTCACGGTGTTGGAGAACCTCATGGTGCTGTGTGTGATCCTGCACTCCCAGACACTTCGATCCAGGCCTTCCTACCACTTCATAGCCAGTCTGGCTGTGGCCGATCTGATCGGAAGCATCATTTTTGTCTACAGCTTTCTGGACTTTCACGTCCTCCACAGAAAGGACAGCCCCAATATTTTCCTCTTCAAGCTGGCTGGAGTCATTGCCTCCTTCACTGCCTCTGTGGGAAGTCTGTTTCTAACTGCAATCGACCGCTACATCTCCATCCACAGGCCCATGGCTTATAAACGCATAGTCACAAAGAACAAAGCGGTCGTTGCCTTCAGCGTGATGTGGACCATCGCCATTGTCTTCTCTTTGCTGCCTCTTCTGGGCTGGAACTGCAAGCGCCTCAACTCCGTCTGCTCAGACATCTTCCCTCTGATCGACCAGAACTATCTCCTGTTCTGGATCGGGATGACCACCGTCTTGCTCCTCTTCATCATTTACGCCTACATCTTCATCCTCTGGAAGTCTCATTACCACGCAGTCCGCATGCTGAGCCGCAGGTCCCAACGAAGCATAATCGTCTACACGGCAGAGGGAACCAAGGTCCAGACAATCAGGCACGAGCAGGCCCGCATGGACCTGCGTCTGGCTAAAACCCTGGTTCTGATCCTGGTGGCCCTCATCATTTGCTGGGGCCCGCTCTTAGCCATAATGGTTTATGATCTCTTGGGAAAAGTGAACGACTCCATCAAGACCGTGTTTGCCTTTTGCAGCATGCTGTGCCTGCTCAACTCCACCGTGAACCCTGTGATCTACGCCATGAGGAGCAAGGACCTCCGCAGGGCTTTTCTCAACCTCTGCCACCTCTGCTGGGGCGTGAGCCAGCCCTTGGACAACAGCAATGAGAGTGACTGGAACTCCAGGAGCATGAGAGGAACAGCAGGTGGAGCTGCAGGCAGTGATAGAGCTGGCAGTGTTCACAGCAGCTCCATTAAAGTCGCCCAAGTTACCGTTTCTGGAGTGACTGAGGCTTGTAATGCAGAGGCAGTGTGAGGTGGAAGCTGCTGTACTCTGTGTAACTGTAATGTACAGATAGTTGTAGAATAGCCCCCAACCCTTGGTCCACTGCTCTGTGACTGTGAAACGTGCCAAAACATGAAAAACTGACCTAAGTTTTTACTACTTTAAAATCAAAATGTGTGACTCTACAGCGAGGTGCTTGTCTTTGTGGTTCATTAAGTTGCTCTAGTTTGATCAAAATTGCTAATTTAAGCTGCTTAATGCCTACTACGTGTGCTTGTCAAAACAACTGAGTGTGATGCCACACTGCCACATTCCTGTCAGTCATTGTGCCATTGTGATGGAAAACAAGTGTATATGATGATTATATAACAGTGGTTGAAAATGACGATGTAATATTTGCCTATTTTTTATCATATCAATGTCTACGTATTTGGTATCTTCTTTTAATAAAAACGTGAAAAACTACCTGAAGTTTATTGTGTGTGAAAATTACTTTTATGTCACGAGGTTTTTTTCACATGTTGGAGAATTTGGGGGAAATTATTATTACCATATAATATATATGGATTTGTTTGCTTTCTCGCAAATATCTCTTCGCTTTTTGGCAATTTTTTATCGACATTTTGGTAGCTCTGACTTGTTTTGTGGCTCAATGTTTAGAGATATGACTCTTGTGAAGTGTTTCCTCACATTTCCATAATGTGTAATTGGAAATTGGATCTGCTTTTTGGAATGGAGTTTAATAAACAAACGCTTTTGAAATGACGGAAAACGTAATTGTTGTACAACACTGCCCTCCAGTGGCTAAAGGGCGAATAACAGTTAAAAGAATGACACTGTCTATTATCATCGCTAAAATGAGATAACGATTTAAAAAAAACCTCATCAACAGGAATGACTGTTTATAATTTTATGACCACATCCAAATTACATTTTCCAAATGAGGGCTGCTTTACCCAGGATGCATTGCGATGCATCTCACACGTGACGTCACTAAGCAGAGAAGCCGACTGTAGCTCTGTATCAAAAACAAGCAGAGAAGTTGAGCTGATTAGCTCTGCTATCTCACAGCAGCTGCACTTAACGTCGCTGCAACTTTTGAGAAGCAACTTTGAAGAAGACCTAGGCGACTTTTTAAAGGAGGCCACTTTTAATCACATTTGGTAAGAATGACATTTGTTATAATGTATTTACGCTCCAGCTTTTGGAAGCCAAAGCTAACGTTAGCGGTGTTTTCTTTATGATTATTTCCTAGCAGCTGCGGCTAACGTTAGCCTACGAGCTCATGTTTAAAGCCTAGGCTTCGCAGTATTCCTGTCATTTGTTCCCCTTTAATGTCAAAAGGGTGCTAAAGGACAACCTTTGCTAACGCCGCTCTACACGGCGAACATACACATCCATGACTTTTGACTACTCACCTACATTCTCCCTTTAACAATCTGAAGTGATGGCGTGCGGAGCCACCCTGAAGAGGACCCTGGATTTTGACCCGCTCATGAGTCCTGCTTCACCTAAACGACGAAGATGTGTCCCCGTGACCCCATCGTCCCCTAGGAAGTATCTTAGCATGGAGCCCTCGCCCTTTGGGGAGTCGTCGTCCAGACTTAGTGCAGGTACTGATAAAGTCCTTCCTCGCTTGTTGATCACTTGGACTGTGGCGAGACGTGTCATTTCCAGGTCTGGTCATTCGTGTTTGTACAGTAATTAACGTGTATAAATGTGGAGTTTATAATCTGTAAAACTGAAGAATGGATTGTTTTTTTGGAAAACAGCAATTACCAGAATAAAACAAATATCTGTTGTGCTCTGCTCGAGAAAAAAATTATACAGGATGAAAATAGCGAAACAAAGGCACAGAATGTGTTTATTATCAATACATCTAAATGATTCAATGTTGAACAATTTTATCTCTTATCCTTTCAGACTTTACTGTAGTGTTTACTGTAAAATAAAGTTGATTTGCATGTACTGTTTTTCTGTCTTGACTCTCCTTTCCTCCCAGTATTTCCTGACAGTGACACAGACTTGTCTTATTTACTCCCCAGCACAGTGTAATATTGGTTTTTTTTTTTCCTCCAGAACAAATCCTCACTAGTATTAAGCAGGAGTACAAACGCATTCAAAAGAGGAAGCATCTAGATGGAGGCTACCCACAGTCAGAATGCTGCTATTCTCCAGAATCCCCATCCCAGTCATCTACTATGAATGTTTCCAGCATGTCAGGTCAGTTGACTGTAGTTATTGTGGTAACATTAATATCTCAGTAGATTATGTTACTGTAAAGTGATGTAAATGTTACTGTAAAAAAACATGTAGTGAAAACCTAAACATCAACAACCAGCAGCTAACTGTGAGGAGCTAAAATGTTGTGCTAAAGGCTAAGCTTGCTGAAGTTGACATGTACCTACATCTTTATTTTAAATTAATTTTAATATTTTTTTTTATCTTTAACTGGTGTAGGAACATCCTGTGGAGGTGTCTCCCCAACTAGAAAAGACCAGCCATTATTTACCCTAAGGCAAGTTGGTATGATTTGTGAACGCCTGCTGAAAGAACGAGAGGAGAAGGTGCGGGAGGAATATGAGGAGACCATGACGTCAAAGCTAGCAGGTCTGCGTGGATTAGACACTTGTGACCTTACATCTCAGAGTACACGTCACATGATACCATTCAGTTTAAAAGTATTTTATATTTACATGAATTTGTTTATGCTAATAGTTTTCCTAGCTAGCTGCAAGTCACAATTTAGTCAGATTTTTTACCTCCTCACACAGATGACACGTTTTTCCTGTATGTTATATGACATATTTTTAAACTTACTAAAAGTATTTTTAGTAAAAGTAAACATGACTATCCAATGTGTCTATTCTTAGTGAGAATGTAGCAGTCAAGGGATTTGTTAGTGATGATTTGCTGTGAACTGAACCCAAATGTCCTCCTGCTTCCAGAACAATATGACACCTTTGTGAAGTTCACACACGATCAGCTAATGCGACGGTTCGGGGAGCAACCTGCAAGCTGTGAGTTTTCTTACGATTTCTCATTTTCACAGCACTAGCATTGGGCCTCACAGTTTTTTCAGCTCAGCTTTTTTTCTCCTTCTGCAGGAATAAAATGTCTGTTTTTGTTTTGTTTTTTTTTTCTTCCTCCAGATGTTTCCTGAGTGTGACACAGAAAATCAGCGAGACGACCGTCCCTTTGCTGCGAGCTGTCGTTCGATAAATCCAACAAAGGAAAGAAAACGCTCATTGTGAGAAATTCAGCTAAGCTAGTTATAATTGAATTTTTTCTTACTGTGCCATATTTCTGTGGACGGGCATACATTTATATGAAGCTGTCAGTTGTCACCACTCAGTCATAACTAACCAGGTGTAAAAGAACCAACCCCATCTCTACCAGTGGCCTGTGTGTTCGTTCCTAGTTATCTGACTTTTGTAATGATTCCCAGCATTCCAAGCTTTCTCACTCAGTTCTTTGTTACTGTGTAAATATGACTTAAGGAGTGGCAAAATTTGAAGCAAGGTTTGCTGGTCAGTCTGCGGGGAAGTGAAAGAGACAGAAGCTAAATATTTGCAGTTTGTTCTGGTCTTTCTGCTTTTTTAAGTTGAGCATAATGTGGGCGATACCCCCCCCCCCCGACCCCCCTACCAGTTTTATTTATTTTGACTTTTTCCTGGTATTATTTTGAAACAAATGTAGTTCTTGGAAAACACAATAAATCTTTGATGAGTTCAGAAAAGAGTTTCCATGTTTTTTTTATATCTTGGCTAAAGTGACAGATTCAGCCAAAACCATAAAGTGAGTTGTTTCTCTATTCCTCTAAAGGTCGACATTCTTTGAAAATAAGATAATCATTTATACCAGGCATTTCAAAAGGTGCGTCTTCCTGGTATTTCTTTTAACTCATCAACGAGGAGGACATTCCTTGAAACAAAAGTAAAGTATAGCGGTTAGCACACCTGCCTCAGAGTGTCCCGGGTTCGATTCCCAGAAGAACCACATGCTTGATAATGTTAATTCTCCTCAGTAAGTCGCTTTGGATAAAAACATCAAACGTTGAAATGCAGTGGAAAAACATCAATGAATGTCCTTTATTGAATCCAAATATATTCCAAAATATATACCCTTGTCAAGTGCTACAGTTGGAGAAAGCATCTGCAGGTCTCCTCCCCCTAACTCTTACAGTGTATTTGTCAGCAGCCTCCCCAGGTGAGTCGGGCTACGTGGTCCGTCTTCTGCTTGGTAGATTTAATAAAGCCCAGGAATTCCAGCTCGGAGACAGCTCGGATGAAACGGGCGCTGTGTCAAAGCTGAGGAATAAC